AAAAAATGTTGCCGTCGGGCGGCGTTAACCTGAGTCGCTTGGTAAATGACACATGTCGCTCGAGTGTCGCAAACACATCGTTTCTATAAGCGACGATAACGATTAATAGTAATGAAAAGAAAAATAAATTTTATAATATATAGGTATTGTATAGTCGTTGCCAGATAAATTGAGACGGCGGCGGCGGCGCGATAACGGAAAACCAGTGGTCCTCCGTATTTCAATATTATTACTGAAAATATATCAATAAACCAACTATTGTTACAAAAAATATTTTACGATATTAATTTCAAATCATATATTCTGATAATAATTTTTTATTTAAGAACAAAAAGTAGAAATTGTAAAATAATATAATTAATATAATAATAACACATAATATTAATAATATGATGAAATAATAACAACATCTATATGCATTATTATAAACAAATATTGTTGATACGACTGAAGTGCTTGCGCGGTCAAAACACACCGGGTTAGGTTAGTTGTTTTTAGCAGTGTAGGGCAACCAGAACGGGAGAGAGAACAGAAAATTCTGCAGACAATTTTTTGCACTAAGCCGGGTTCGAACTGGTAACTGCGCGCGTCGTAGCTAACTGTAAGACCTTTGCACCACATTATCAGCGACTAGTTTGGGCTACACTTCATGAAAAGCGCCGCCGCCGCCGTCTCAATTTATCTGGCAACGACTGTACCTACATTATATAGTGTTATTTATATCAGAAATAAATTGCGTGACTGCGTGAGCCAAGAGTAATAACTAGTGTCTAATAATATAAAGGTGGGATCCCACGGCCTGTGGCGCGGCATTGCGCGGTGCAACAAACGCGCCGTGGGATTGGTGGGGCGCGGCGCGGCGCGTCCGTTCCCGATGATTGTCGGTGTTGGTGTCCCGCGTCAAAGGAAAACCGGCGCGGTGCGTGTATTCATATCCCACGACGTGGTGGCGCGGCTTACAACTTACCGATTTCGACTTTTATAAAAAGCGTTAACCCAATAACGTCTTTTTTTGGGGGGCACTTTGTTGGCCAAATTTGATTTTAAAATTTCACCACTTGCTATAACATAATATGCAGCAGCACAAATCTTTAGTTTTAATTTTTTATCATAATCACCCATTGTTGTATATTTAATTAAATAACAATAAATATGGTAGTAAAAAAATAAAATTAAACTAAAACACTGCGCAACACATAAAAAATACAAACAAAAATAATCAACGTCCGTTCTCTGAAAGGAAAAGAAACGCAATGATCAATGCAAAGATTCAAACTGGCACGGAAATTTGCCGCTCCTGGAAAAGCGTCGATCCACGCGCCATAGGATCATGTAGAGGCGCGCTTGTGTAGTGGCGCGTGTAGTGACGAAGTTCACGCGCCGCGCCGCGCCACGGGCCGTGGGATCCCACCTTAATATTATTGTGGTCGTGTGATCGTCCCAATCGATTTTACTGAGAAATACTATTTTTAATTTCAAATCAAGGAACTACGTTCACTGTCTGTACAAACTACAAATAGTACAATGTACATTAATATAAGTTCATTAATCAATTTAATATAATTTTAAGATGACAGAAAATAATAATTGACATGTTGTACATGGTTATTATGTTATATAAAAATAGTTGTATTCTCTAAATTGGCTATTTCTCAAAAAAAAAATTACGGCTCTTTTCAAAGGGCCTTATTATAAGGGGGCCCAGTCAGCGATCGTCGTGTCGCCGACCTGGCCAGCCCGCCACTGTTGTTGTCGTCGTCGCCGTAACTTCAAACTTATTTCAACTTATTTGTTGTCAATTTTTATGTGTGGTATTTCTTGGTTCCAATTTTTAGGATTTTTTTTAGGTAGTTTCGGATGATATTTAAGTTTTGTTTTATATTTAGGGATTATCTTTTTGCTGTTTAATGTCTTGTTGATTTTTGTTCTTCTGGTTCTAATATTGTGATTCGTGTTAGATATTTGTTTGATGGATTGTCCTTTCTATGGTATTCGATGTATTTTTTGTCTTTTATTACGCACAATTGTTCTAGATTTTTTTTTGTATAGTTGTTTTAAAGAAGTATTTAAGTATTTAAGTATTTAAGTATTGAATTGCTGTTTAAATATTTTGTTTTCAAATTAGATAATCGTTTTTACTATTTGACGTAGGTCTGTATTTTGTGTTAGGTATATGTTTAGTGATTTGTATTTTTGTGGTTTTGGATTTATTTGTTGTCTTTTTTGATTTGCGTTAGGTATTTGTTTGATGTCTTGTCGATTTTTGGTTTTGGATATACTTGTTGTCTATTTTTATGCGTAGGTGTTCTAGAATATCTTTTGTTTGGTCGTTTTTAGGTAGTGTTGAACAACTGTTCATTGGCTAAGAATTAGGGAATTTCTTTCGCTGTTTGATGTAGGTCTGTTTTTTTTTTGTTGAATTTTATACATTAAATGTTTATTGGAATAAAAATCAAATTCTTTAAATTTACATAAAATATTTTGAAACTTTTAAATAATTTGATTAAAATTCAATAATAATAATTATTTCTTGATAGATCAGGCTCATAAATGTAAAATATAATTCAATTTAAATTAATTTACCTGTTTTCGTTTCAAAATATTCAAATTTTAATTCATTTATTTTTATGTTTCTTTTTCAGAACCTGGATTTTTTTTTTTGTACCGACACAAATCAATTTTCCTCCGGGAGCCAGAGATCCCCTTTTCATTTCTACTATTGAACTTAACACTTTGAATATTTTATGGTATAAAAATTAAATTCATTTAATTTACATAATATATATTAATAAACCTAATATGTTTCTTTTTCAGAACTTGGATTTTTTATCTTTCCAACCTAAAGGAGATGTCCTTCAAGAGCCTGGTACCCACTTATAATTTATTTTTTCAGTTTAACACTTTAAATATTTAATTGTATAAAAATCAATTTCATTTAATTTACATATAATATGTTAAAACTTTTGAATCATATGATTAAAATTAATACAAATTTTCACATATTCATATTACGCCAATATTTTTAAGATATATTTGAGATCAAGACTCAATCAACTTATAAGCTAGTTAAAATGAATAGTAAGACTTGCTAATAGCAGTACAATGGATATTATTAAATAGCTGAGATTTTAATGCGAGTGCATTTTTTTTCTTATATTCCAACACGTAGGTCTGTAAGCAGAAAATGTATTTCAAGTGATTAATTTAATGTAGTTTTTATTTTGCCATTTTTTTTTTTACATTTTCTGACAAATTTAACTTTAAATACATTTTTAGGTATATTTTGCTGTTTTATTGCATTTTTCAGAATTTATCTATTAATTCTTAAATATTAGGGTTTTTGATCACATGTTTCGGCATTTGTTTGCTCAAAACTTGCATATTTAGTATGTAATCTGTTAAATTGATAAACTAATAAATATAACCATATCAGCCCTTGTACATATTTTATCAAAAAATAGAACAAAATTAAAATATTTGAAAGTAATTTTTCTAATTGCAAGAGTTCAACAACAATCAAATTTAAATAAAGTTAAATAAAATGTAAATATTAAACAAATAGGTACTTATTTTATTATTATTATGTAGAATAAATATAATTAAATATGTTTGGTAATATGATTTTTATAGTATCGTTTATAATCTATAATAAATAAATATTCTAATGTATTTTTATAGCACATTTTTCATAATTTTTAAAGCATTTTTGCATTTTTTGCTATTTTTAAGAGCATTAAAATCCCAACCCTAGTTATTAATCTGAAAAAGAATTTCAGGCATTTTTTAGAGATGTAGGTAATTTATAATAATTTTGATGACATATGATTGATTATTATTTGGTATTAATATTAAGCCATAATAATAGGATCTTTATTATAATTCAAATGTTCATTGTCAATATGAAACTGAACCTGAATTATACATGGATAATATACTAATATACGACTATATTTTATATACCTCTACAAATATATCAATCTGAGATTTAGGATATAGGTCGGTTTTAATTGCAGTCGTCATTGCTTGTTTGAGATGAACTGTTAATTCAGCTGACTTGTTGTCTCTGGGTCTACGTTTCCGTTCACTTCTACTGAACGTCGCCATACTGTATTGGCAGTTGATGACCGCACAGTCATTGTGCGCTTTCAATCTGTTGACCCGTATCTGTAAACACGAACAATGTCAAAGGGACATGTGGGCCATTTGTCATCCAACCGTTGCTCCGCAAACGGCTGTTGTTAGCCGATCGACCGACGAGTCCGAACGCTGTGGCAGGTACGTACCTCGTGCGACCGTTGACGGCCGCGAGCACTTTCGTGTTGCCCTGTTCCAGGTACGTGCTACCATCCGGCTGGTTGAACACTCCCATCTTGCAACTGATCCTGCGCAACTCGTCGGACCGCCGGCCGTCCGTCCTCAGCCCTAGTCTGCTCAATAAATCCATCGGTGCTGTAGGTGGTCGGTGATCGCGTATCCAAAGGTTTTTGCAAAAACCGCGATCGTTTCGTGGTTCTGCGGTGCCGTTAGCACAAACAATTCCCGCCGGTAGCATGCGGTTTGTTAACAATGTGACCGCGAGCGCCATCTGTCTTCTCGCGCCTCCATACGTACGCTTATGTAGTATTTTTTTTAAATGTTTTCCCCACGTTTTAGATTTTCACGATGGAGCGCGGCGAACGCGATACTATTGTTACCGAAGACTACATGAAAATAAATATGGTGGTATTCATTTTTCTTATATTTTTCCGTCTCGAGCTTACTACTAGGTATACCTAATCCGGCTTTTCGTTTCCGTCTTAATCCCTTCGATCGGGGCTAAATGCACCCGATACCGATCGTGTTGAGAAATAATTATGCCGCCCACGAACACCGGTTTCCTAACGCAGGTAAATCTTCTAATCAGTGCCGTATCTCCCAGTTAACACTATAAGCTAGTGCTTAGGGTGGCGATTTCTCGAGGGCGGAAAATCATTTTTAGTATTACATTTTTATTATTTGTCACTAGAACTAAAATAAATGCAACTAATTATAAAAGGTTTTGCTTTATTAAAGCCGATGGGTACTAGGCACTAACTATTTAATTTTGAATATAATTTAAAAATTAACTATTTAAACATTTTTTTTATCATATTTTTATAATTGAATTTTTCATATGTATGTATGCACTTTCATAACAGTTGTATATTTTTACTTTACCTACATCATTAAAACGTTAAGTAATAAAGGAAATAAATGCTGAATAATACAAAAATGTATGCGTTAAAATTATAATTTATACTTAAATAAAAATATTTTATTTTTAATAATTTTATAAAATATAACACAATTATTTATAAAACGTATCCAGGTCAACGTATTATATGAAAAAAAAAACAATGATATAAACATACCTAGTCAATTTGGCAAATTTATTATTCATTTTTGAAAAACCGCGACATCGCTTTTTGTATTTTCTCAAAACTTACAGTAAAGTGTTTATCGTGTTTATCGACAATCTCACGTCGACTTACAAGTGAATCAATATTTCTGATAATATTCAAATATTTTTCACGTTTCAAATATTTTTCGAACATCATTTGAAATGTCGACTGCTGAATCGAACGGCAAATCAATGCGATCGGAAAAGCAGGCGAAAAAACCTAAACTCATGAAGTACTCGTCAAAATTATGGTCAGATATAGTTGACGAATATGAAGCCAACATGAAAATGAACAGTAAGTG